TAGAGTAGGATGTTTCAGAGTCCTGGAGCATCAGATGCTTCTTCAAATTTAAAATTTACTCTGTGATGACAGTAGAGTGAAAATACTTTGAAACAATGCAAATGACTAAAAGAAAGCAAAATCTGTATTTGTTGACAAAAGTTGTCTTTTATTAGTACTGAATTATGTATGACTATACTACCCTGCCTTCCTGGGAAGTGTTATTTCAGAAGAGGCTGAGATCTGGAAGCAAAGCAAGAACAAACAGTGGCTTGGGAAGTGGTGGGCACAGTGCAGGAAGTCACAAATCCTAGCTAAAACAACGGGGAAGCTGTTAGACAGCACTCTGTCTTTTTAGGGCAAGGTTAATGTTCCCAGGTGAGGTACAAAGATTCGTAGGTAAATTAAGTCCAAGTTTAAAAAGGCCACAAGAAAAAAAGACATGGAAGCAGTTGTTGGTGGTTGCTGAAGTTTTTGACAGAGAAGTTGGAGTGACATAGTTTTTCTATCTGTTTCACAGTCCTAAAGGCTGATCTAAATAGCTTGAATGTACTGAAACAGGCAGGAAAAAATTGAGAGTTCATTTTTTTCTTTTTAACTTAATCCTTTTCCTGTGTGCTTTCTGTGTATCTTTTGAAGGAATAAATAATGTTTTGCTGTTGGCTGTTTTGGGGCTGCAGTAATCCAACATTGTGACAGGATCCCGGGGAAAAGGTCTGGTGAAATCATATGCCTCAAAGTTAACTGGTAAAGATTTAGGGATGATGACTTGAAAATCCCTATTGGAGAACCATAACAGGGAATAGTTGGAGTTAGAGAGAGGACAGACCTGTTCCCAAAAGGAAGGGTCTAAGAGAAAAAATGCAGCCAACTAGAGGAACATCAAAACCTGTAGCTGTAGATGTGGTATTCTCTATTGTAACTTGTGCCATCAGTGTCATTATTGCCTGGCTTGGAGGTGTATAGTCAAAAAGGAAGCTTGTGGTTTACTGCAGATTGGGAAAATGTAGAATATAAAATGTATCATTTAGTTTAAATGATTAAAAAGTATTCAGATACTCCGTGAAACAGATGAAGAGGAAACATGATGCTTGTGACTGATTGCTCTGGGAAGGGCATCTTTCACGATTCCTGAGAGATAACAGCCATTTTGTTTTTTTAATTTCTAGGATGCAGGACATAAATATTTTGTACTGCATCCCGATGATGTTGCCTTTGTTGTGTTCCCTTTAAGCTACAAGAAATCACTGTAGACTAAGGTTTCCATTGCTTATGGCAATCTCAGCTTGAAGAAAAAAGTCTTAGCATTCCTGTTATTTAACATTTCTATTCGCATACTGAGTGAGGAAAGGTAATACATACATGAAAACAACTATAAATAGCGTCAGAAGTTCTTGCAATGAGTTTTGTTATCCTTGAATATTCAAGCCTGCATTGGGAAGCTAAGACTGCCAAATCTCACTGGAGTCATGAAGTTCAATAATCTGGCTGCTGGCAAAGTTCAGGAGAGTGGTCTTCTCTTGGTCTGAATTCCAGGTGCTGTGGTAGGCTGGCTGGAGCAAGGTGCTTATATGCTTAGATTAGTTTTCTTTAATCTGTCACATTAGAAGAATCAAGCCTTGACACTTAGAGCCAGACACTTGTACTTGACTTGGATGCTTTTCAGCTGAGCTCTGAAAGGCATTTGGAAAAATTCAGGTTCAGTCTGAAAAAGCGGCAGCTTCTAACCTTTGTGTACGTCTCCATCTGACAAGCAGTGGCACTGTACATTTCTTACCTTCAGAAATCTGTTGGGAACGCTATCATTTTGATTTTATATCTGTCTTGACATAGGTATCTCCCAGTTTTGCCAGGGGAAATATATTTATTTCATGATTGATATCAAAGTTTCCTCATGTGTTATCTGCCTGAGGCTGACATTGTATTGTTCTTGTGCAGAGGCCTACATACTAGGGCTTGTAGGACTGCTCTCTGGAGTTTCTTGACTTAGAGCCTGAAAATTGATTTACCGTGTGATATTAGCTGCCTCTCATATCATGTCAGCTTTGGTTTAAAATATCGGAAAAGACCAGACCCCAACACAATAGCAGTAGTCAAAACACTGCCTGTTCTGCTATCAAGGGGCAATGGAGGGTCAAGAAAGGGTGCTGTAACTTTCTTGCTGTAAGGAACTGCTAAAAGCAGCTGCTTGTTAAAGCCTGATGAACTCTGCAATTTAACAAACCAAGCCTTCAGGGATTCCAGGCAGGTCGTTCTTAGTTGGAGGTACTGAAGATCTTGATAAATACCTAATATTTGCTGGAAGTGCAAACTTTTGTTCGCACTTTTCAGGCCTGTGAGGAGTGGCCAGTCACCTAGCAAAGGGAATCATGCATTTCAGGGTCAGGTTTTAGTCAGTATTTGTCCACCTACTTGCAGCGCACAAGAGTTAAGCCTTCACTGGCAGACTGGAGCTGGCAAACCCCTGGTCCGTGGCATCTATCTCAGACCTTAGTTGGGTTCTTGTCAGATAATTTTCCATATGCAGTTCTATCGATCTTACAGAGCTGGTTCAGTGGCCTAAATACTTTCGTAACTTGTCTCTGAGTACTCTGCTAGTGTCATGTTTCCCTACATCAAGCAAGCAGAGTTAATTTTTGATGTTTATGTATTTTGACTATTAAAAACAATCATTTTTCAGTTCCCTTCAGTTGTTAGTTGTTGATGTCCCTCTTTTCCTAAAAGAGCAATTAAGCTAAAGCTAAGTGCTTTGGTTCTGATATGGGCTACGAGCAGGCACATGGACAGTTATTCCAGCTCACTTGACATGGAGTAACTTTCTGCAGCACAGTAAACTGACCATTTTTTGGAGCTTTCTGTGCCAGTAGGACTGTCCTACATCTTACTGCTCCCTGAACAACAAACAGCTTGGAAAAGAAATAAAAAGGCCCATTTGTGTTAAGCCGTGTCCAGCTGCTTCTTCAATCTGAAGATCACATGAGTTTTATAAATGTGAGTGCAAGCTCTGAAATATGTAATTCATTTTTAGTCAAATTAATCTCTTCTCCTACAATGAATTGTTCTGTATAATTTTATGTTGTTTTAAAATACCCTGTTAATCAGTTTTTAATGTACTTAAATGTAGCCATGTGATTTCATTAACTTTGTCATCTTCTTGTATTATGAGAGAGCACTTCGTCTACCCTGCCTATGCTCTTCATTGTCTGGGGTTCTTCTGGCATATCCTAAATTAGTCAATCGCTAATGTGAACTGTGTCAGTCTATTTAATTTTTGTTCATGTGGAACTCTCCATTTCCTTAACAATGCTCATTGTCTTCCTCTTAGACCCCTGCTGTTTCTGCTGTTAGGTTTCTGAAAGAATACGTCTGGTTTATGTAAGGTCATTGTAATTATCTCTCTATTTTCTGTTCTGTTCTCTAGCATTTGTCTGCATGCTGAATAGCTTTGCACATTTATCATTGGTTTTGTAAGATTCTGTTGTATTCATATAATGCTGTAAGAAAATGATTTTTCTTCAGTTTTGCAGGGCTGTGGGTGTAGATCTGAATACTGTCACAACATAGGTGATTGACTTCTATATTTAGTTTCTCTGGTTTAGTCTCAAGTTTCCATAGTCATTTCATACATTATTTCACCGACTGTAATGGAAGCTGAACCAAGCTTTTTAATACAATTATTAGTAAGAAAAAAATGGTACATACAAACTACCTTGTTGAATTCATGTTGTCTTGATTTATGATACACGATCCAGTTTCAGTCATTTAGATGGATATTTTAAAATATTTTGAGGTATTGACAATGTTCTGAAAAAGTTCTCTACTCTGATCGAAATGTCTGAAAATAATGAAATAGTAATTGGTTTAAAAATTATATTTGTTTTTAAACTATTGAGTAAATAATGATGAGTAAAAGGATCAGTAGAAATTGCAGCAAAACAGTCTGTTTCTTTTGTAGTCTGTAAGAGTGTGTGACGGCTCAGGCCAGAATACTATTATTATTTAAAGATTCATAGACTTAAAAAATCATTGACCATATGACATTCTGTGATAAATTCAGTCTCAATGATCTAAATTCTGAATATACTAGAATTATGACAGTCCTGTGCCAATCTAATAGAAGGAATGAAACAAGTGCAGTGCAAAAGGTTAAAAAATTATAATATATAAAGTTCTCCTCTACTTGGGGAGACTTGGAGAAGGCAGTATTTTGTTATAAAAGTTAAGTAAGTATTCAGTGTACTAAATATGTAATTATTTATTTTAGCGCTGGATACTGCTTTTTTTGATTGTTATCTAAATTCAAAGCTTTTTGTTACAGGTCAGTAAATGAATACTTAGAATCAGATCTTCTCAACTTACAGAGTGAGTGGAATGGTCATGCACAAAAGAGTTCATGCTGTGTACATCAAGGTCATAAAACACTATTACAGCTTTTGGTTGAACTTGACAGCTAAGAGAGAAACCTCTTGCTCTTCAGCCTGGTTGCATAGTATTTTATGTAGAGCTTGTCAGCTACCAGAGGTGCATTTGCAGTCCTTTGGAGGAGGATATTCTCAGAGGAAGAACAGTTGTGAAGCATCTGTGTCACAGCCCAAACTGCAGCACTGTGGTTGTGTTTTTGTCCCCGCAGCCAGGCACCGTGCTGCAAATTTTCAGCCTTCTTTCGTAGTATTTATGGCAGCTAACAGTAGCGGTGGGAAATTAGATGTCTTCAGTATGAACTCCAGAAGCAAACTGGTGGGATTTAGGTCCCAAACTCCTCTGGATGCCCTTAGCTTTGGGATCCTGGTTTTATTTTACCTCAGTGTTTTTGTCTGCAATTGGAAATGCTATCAGAGGTTATCTTCCAGTGACTTTGGAGAGAATGGGCTGTACTTGAAGCTTACTTTTTCCAAAACTCTGTTTTCCTTTTCTTGTTACTTATTTCTGTCTTTCCCCTACAGCACATAGCAGTGTTTTTTCAGACAATTTTTCTCCATTTTCTTCAGCTGCTAATGGTAGCTCATTTTTTTCTCTTGCAGCTTTTTTGTACCATGTCCTGCAACATTCCCTCAGCTGAATCTCTCGGGCAGAGAAAGAATATGTACCTGTGCCCCTATAACATGGCCTTGGGCAGCAGAAGGGTTTATACATCCCATATGGAGCTTTATGACTTCAGGTGAGAAAGAAGTAATAGAAGCAGATGAATTTTAAGAGAATTGTTTATATGCAAATGTATTAGTGGAAGTCTGTGATTCAAATGTCTGTGGGCTAAATTATGGAAAAAATATTTCTCATTTAAAAATTCATTATGAAGAGCATAAAATGAACTTCATAAGACGTTATGAAATAAGAACTGGTGAAATATCAGACCACTGTACAGCAGTCTGATGTATAACCCTCTGTATTTTCTCCTTTTTATTATTGTTTCTAATTTTAATTATTGATTTATATAATGAATTCTTTTTTCTATCTTCAGGTCAGTTGCTTTTAGTATCTTTTAGTATCTTCAGCTTTTAAACTACCCCTTTTAAGATTATTTTTTTTAAAACTATGCTAGAATTCGTAAGGTATTACCAAGTTTAATTACTAGGAGTTCCTGCTGGATTGATAATGTATGCAGTGTTTGACTGCTCTAGTGGAGAGGTTACCTATCCAATTCCCTCTTTTGTTCATACAATTTAGACTGGACATTATTAATCAAGTAATATTAATATATTGCTATAATGAAGTATGTGGGCTCACTGTTAAATAAAACCAACTTGTGCTTATTTTGCACAATGGAGATGACAATCGTAAAATATATTTTTCCCCCAAAAAAGAAAGTGTTTTAACTAAAGTAATGGCAGACCAGCCAATGTGCTGTTTTGTTCTTCTTACAGTTTTGTCTCTAAAGGAAAAGGTACTTCGCAAGTGAGTTCCAGTAATGATTCTTGACACACACCTCACCCCACTCCCCATTTTTTTAATTTGTTCTTTTGTTTTTGTTTCTTTACTTTTTGACCATGGAGCTACATATCCTGAATATTGGACTGGTGCTTTCCTCAGTGGTTTTCAAAATTAGGTTGGATCTTCAGTTGTTTATGTTAAGGAATTCTTGTGTTTTTCTACCTTAGCACTGCTGCAGAGTGATCACTGAAAATTTTGAGAGAGCTTATAATCTATTTCTTTCTCTTTATATACAGTAACAATTAGAAGTGATATTGCAGGTGGGAATAAATTAGGATAAAAACCTATAGTTTACCTTATAGTTTACCTTATAGTTTAACATAGTCTAAAAAATCTTGATGAATAACACCTGAAGTTTTTCTTGAATTGGTATGGAGCATATAAGTAGTGTCATTATCAAATCAATTCTTGTTTTGAGCAGTCCGTGTTACCCTTGCCCAGTCTTTTCATTGTTTTCAAAATGGGAATGTGCATCTTCTCTATATACATGTATCTCTATATATGTATGTGTACATATATATCTGTGCACGTATCTCCTTTAATTAAACCTCCACCATTTTGTTCTCACTGTACTCAAATCTGCTTCCTAGCTTTGCCTGAAGCCATCTCTGTAGCAGAGGTGTTACAACAGCTGTAGAGCTGTTTACTCCATGTATGTCAGTCGGAAAACTCTCAATACTGAGGAGCACCCAGCTGAGCTGTGATGAACAGATACTTTGCAAAATACATGTATTTCTTCAGTTGTTTTCTTTACATCTTCCTTTGTGCTAACATCATGAAACCATATATGTATGTTTTGGGGGGCAAAAACTGCACAAGGGGTGGTACTTGACTAAGATTTTAGAAGACGCTCTTATACAATTACATGCTAAAAAAATGAATCCTAAGTAGTGTAAAATACATGAATCATATTTATAGAAACTAGATTAATAGTGCAGATTGTTTTTGTTCCATACTGCATTTTGTTTCAGTTAAAATAGAATGTGGAAAACTGGTAGAGACATCACGTGGAAGTGCTTACTAGAAAGCTGGAAAGGCACAGAAGTAGAGAGTAGAGACTTCAAAGGATGACACTTAAGAATTCTTACTGCTAATGCAGAACATCTTTGAACTCTCATTTATAAAGCAGAAAGCATTCAGAATTACCTGTTTATGTTCTAGTGTAAATCCAATGGGAGTGATGACTTGACTTGTTCAGTATTTACTGCTGACATTCGACCTCAGCAGTATCTGAAGTCCTAATGTAGAACTCACTGAAATCAAGGAAATCACACCAGTGACCTTTGACATTACAGATCAGTCTCTGAAACAATTCTAACATGATTTGGTGCATCAGCTCTATCTGTTATTCAAGAGTTAAAAACTTCATCAAGATTTTGTTGGGTGACAACTACCTCTGCTGTTCCAGATTCACCCTCTCAGTGCAGTAGTCTTTGGTGACAACTGTCACAATATTTCAGGATCCTTTTTAGAGAATGATGGATGTAATTTGTTAGAGGTGATAATATACCCTCTTAAGCAGCCACCAGTGTTTCAATAGTTATGAAAACCTTTTCCCTACAATTGTCAGGAAAGCACAAAATGTAAGAGTAAGTTTATCAGTTAAATCTAAAGAAGAATGAGGCTAGCACAATCTCAACAGATAAAGGACAGGCCTCTCTCGTCTTCAAGTCATTCTCCAAAACAGTTATCATTGTTAAATAGTTTTTAAAGTGGCCTGACTAGTACTCAGTAAACTAGAGCCAATATTTTTCTAGTATTGATATGTAACAACTTTACTCTGATAAAAATGTTTTCAGATATATGAGACGAACTGATGGCCATGTGTGCTGAGTATGGTGGCTGAAATGCCTTGTTCTATGCATTTCATCTCAATTTAACCCTGTAGCCTGACCAAAATTAAGTAGCTTCTTTGCTATAAGGCGTCTTGTGCTTAGAGCATGTGCTATGACAGTAAAACCAATCTCAGAGAAGTCATTCTGTTTCATAGAGGAGCTGGACGTTTTAAAATGTCAAAATTCAGTTTTGTAGCAGTTTGCAAAAACAGATTTGAAATCATTTGGTAAAAGAAAAGCACAGTCTTAGCTTTTGCAAGTGAAACAAAAAATATGAAAAAGAGGATGAGAGTGTTGGGGAGAAGTTGTAGCAAGGTGGGTGGTAGGTGGGAAGTTGCTTCTTTTATAGAGATTTAGGTTGTTAACCCTGGTGAGGTGTGGAGCCACAGTCCTTAGAGACTCCTAAGGAAGGGGCAGTCCTGGGGCAGCACTGTGGTTTTAAAGGTCAAGATGAAAGTGTATGGTTAGTACACAAAGGAGAACAGCTGAAGACTATTACAGTACCTCTGTTTCATATTTTAAAATAATAACCTTTTGGGTAGTTCATTACTGCTGTTCATAAAACAGAGGTGCATCACAAAATAATTAGCAACCCCCTACTTATTTGGGAATGAAAAAAAAATAGATTTCAGAATCAGTATGATATGTAAGTGGTCAAATTCTGTTAGAAAAATAGCACATGAATTTCCAGGAGGTATGTGTCCATCCTGATCCTGCATAAACAGGATACAAGTAGCAAACGTTAGCGTCCTCTAGCTGTTACCATGCTCTTTTTGTAACAAAACTGGCTAGCTTTGCTTGTTTCCTGGCAAGAAAGTTTGAAGTAATGTTCTGTAATGTACTGTGATAGATTGGAATACAACAGGCATCAAAGCAAAAGGAGTATCTTTAAGTTTTACAGTGGGATATTTAAATATATTACTACTATATTATGTTGTAAATATAGTAATATATTACTATAGAGGACATAGAAAATGGACAAAAATGGCTGATTATTGATTATAGTCCAGCATTTCATGAGAAGTTCCAGTCATGCAGTATTTGCTAGAAGTTCATAGTAAGTTATGAACTTATGATTTTATCATCCCCTTTTTTTTGCATGAGAACTGGGGCTTAAGTTAGGAAATACTTATTGAGCCAGCATTTAAGAAGATTCTTCTATCCTTGCTTATGACTTGCTTACACTTCTGGGGATTAAAAGAAATGAACTGGGAAGACTAAGTTTAAAAACAACAAATAAACAATAACGGCTGATGGAATAGGAGGAGAAAGCTAAACTGTTGGTTTGATCATTGAGAGCTGGCTAGGGCTGGATTATGAACAAGGTGGCTAAACACATTCCACACACATGGATGAAGTGAATGAGACCTGTCCTCAAACCTAATCACTTGCCTTTCTGCATTCTTTCATTATCTACATACTTCCACAAATGCTGCTTCTGTTTGGTCATTTATAAGTTTCTCTTAGTAAATGTTAACACCATATTGTTGCCTTCTTGCTCAAGCTCGAAGCTGCCTTTCCATGGGCATTGCTGAACTAGGAACCTAGACGTTCACCCCTGCGTTACAAGCAGAGTTTCCTGGGGAGCTAAAACCTTTCAGTTTATTCCCTTGCAATCACACACTTGAAAGCTCAGGTCTGAACCCAAATGTGTGGTGAGAATTTTGCTGACAAAAGTTATGAGCTGAAAGACTTGTTTGGCGTGGATCCCTTGTATTTAGGTTTCTCTCTATTAAGAAAAGGAACAGGTGTGCTGAACTTGAAGGGCAGTCAGACAGCTTCCAGGGAGTGAGTGCTGACCTTGTGATGCACAGTGAAGCAAACACCAAGGACTCCTTGGAATTTACTGGCTTGGGCATTGCTAACACCAAAACTGCTGTTCCTGAGGCTGACTAACTGCTAATCCAAACTACTGGCAATGCTTGCTGGACAAATGGTTGAACCTATAGATGTTTGCAGCTAAAAAAGCCTGAGAAAATTAAAGCTTTGTGTGCACACGTTTGCATCCTGGTATGCCTGTGCCTGTAACGTCTGTTTAAAGCTGATGGCTCTCAAGTAAAAGTGTTACAGAAACTTTAAACAGCTGCCCTTTCTGATAGGTGCTACCTGGGGGCTCATTCCAGTGTTCATTGAAAGTCAGTGACAAAGATCCCATTACCTTTAATCATGAGGGATCAGGGCCTTAAATGAAATGGTCAATCCTACTGAGCATTTTCCCATGAATATTTGCTTGGATTGCACCATGACGATGCTTTTGAATGCACTAACTTACTTCTATATTAGCTCTTTGTAAATATTCTGGGTAAGGAATGTCAGTATCAAGGGAAGTCCATGGAAACAGACAATGAACAAGCATTCGAACAGTTTTAAACACAGAATTTTAATTTGTAAACAC